TTGTGTGTTTGTGGTTGTGTGTTTGTGGTTGTGTGTTTGTGGTTGTGGCTGTGTGCTGTGGTTGAGGTCCGGCAGGGAACACTTGGGCCTGGAGCGGTTGAGGTGCGGCAGGGAACACTGGGCGCGGATGGTCTTGGTGGAGGTCCGGCAGGGAACACTTGGGTCTGGAGCTCGCGTTGAGGTCCGGCAGGGAACACTGGGCGTGGATGGACGCGGTTGAGGTCCGGCGGAGGAGGCGGAGGAGGACGAGGTGGAGGAGGCGGAGGAGGAGGAGGAGATGGGGCTGACGTAAAATCTAACAACCCTCACCTGACAGGTGCGGAATAAAATGAAGGTGCGAAACTCCCCAATCTGAGCAAAGAGCCGGGTTTGGAGCTGGAGGTCTTGGATGCAACTGAAACCACTGAGCCAACCTCCAGTAGGCTTCTGCACACATGTCCAACCAGTGATGGCCTCCAACCTACTAGCGATGGCCTCCAACCTAGGATGGAGAGGGCTTGAGCAAAGAAGTTCGCCTCTCCAAATGAACTCCAGGTGCTGAATCTCCCAAAGTCATAGTCCGCAATGGATCTGGTGGGTCCTCGGTGCCAGTGAGTGAACCGACAAAGTCAATCCTGGCCAAGCAAAATGATTTCAGTCAAGTTCATCAACACCAAGGTGCAGTTGGCCAGCGTGCTGCCGCAAGCCAGGGCTCCATTGGTAGTGGTTTTTCTGCATAGACCTGAGAAGCACTTGAGCCAAGTCCAAAGAAATAATGAGCCAACAGTTCAGTTTTCTTGGAAAATAGATCAGTTTTCTTAGGACTTCTAACTTGTCATTTTCAGTCTCAAATGACAATAATAAGTCACTTGGGCCCTCTGCAGGGAAGCTTGCGTTTGGCTGGCGCATGGCCTGCACGTTTGGGAAAATGGATGCAGAGGTATGCAAAAATACTCAAAACGGGGTACCGTACTAACCGGCGGCCTGCATCACAGCCTCGTTTGCTCGACGTGCAGCTTCAAAAGCCTGTCCAGGAATAGCATTGAGAGGCCAACTGCACATCCTCTTTTGTTTGAAGCAATCTTCGAGACACGCTTAGCCTTCCTCCGGTTTGTCGCAAAGCCACTCCATTTGGTCACAGAATGCCTGATTGGAGTCGCCTGCTGCGAGGTAGAGCGCCTGCAGGCCCGACCCCAAGGAAAGAAAAATGTCCTGAGCAAAGCCAGTGTAACAAGCAGCTAACTTGCATATGCTGCATAACTTACAGTAGTGTATAAGTATCATGTTGGCTTGTTGACCGGAAAGCATGTCTGTTCTCCCTTATATATATATCCCTTTTGCTTCTGCCGCCCACCACGTTTGAATTCTTAGAGCAAGCCCCATGCTACAACTTGATTTAGAGAGACTGTGCGGAGTTGAACTGCGTAGTAGATCGACAAACAGTGCGATTTTGTTGGATACTACAAACATTTACACTAGCACAACGCCTCAATTGCTAGGATAATATAAAGGGCAAGGCACAAATTTGCGCAGCAGCATCGATGCGGGTTCTGTGAAAATGAGAGTCTGCTTGCGGTTTGTTTGCGACCATCACCAACACCACCACAACGGGCGTTACCAACCAACGACAATAGACGTAGTAGCAGCAACACCAGCAGCCGCAACCAACAACAGAACATTGGACTTAGCATCATGGTAGATGCGATTTGCTCAGGTCAGAAGTCCCGCTCCACCCATCACAAAGGCTCTGGGAAATTCGGACATCAAACTCCTCACAGAATAGGATGACATAACCAGGTTAACCTGTTGACCGACCGCCCATTTTGTACTTGGTCTTGTGATGCCGAAGTTCACTCAGGCAGCTGGTCTGAAAAACGGGACTTGGAGACACAAGGGTGGCTTAGGTGCTGAAGTTTGTCAAGCTGTTTGTCTCCCAGTGTGGTGGCTTGCATCATGATGTGTTCTTGATATACCAGAGGCTCCCTCTCTGCTGAGACAAGCATAACGAACAAAAGCCTTGAAAAAATTCAGGCTTGGGCATGCACCTTGAGTGCCTCCCTCTGAGCCCACCTTGCATGTTCAGCCATCAGCATTGCCTCAGTCTGACACATTGAAGAAATCGAAAAGTGCATCAACGGAAGACAGTGCAGCCGCAAACAACTCTCCAAATTGACACACCTTCACTAGTCTCTTTGGTGCGCAAGTGCACAAGGGCTCTGGCAACCTCGCGGCTTCGCGGATGGGCCTCTGAAAGCTTAGGTAGCTGAGCAATTGCTGATACAACCGAAAGCCTGAGCTTCAAGCCATGTGAAGAATGCTGGCATTGGATGGATCCAGTTCTGACAAACTCATGCGAAAAGCTGCACAGAAAAGGCTCCAAACAGAATACAGAAACCATGAAGCACAAACGAAAACCATGTCCTTCAGGTACCGAGAAGTGCTGACCTCATGACTCATGACAAAGCAAAATAGCATGAGGTACCAGTCATGAGTCATCTTGGATGAGGTAACAGTGATTCCTCACTCTGATGATTTGGCGCCTGGCCAGCAACTTTGGCTGGTGCACCAGACATGTCCTTCTGTGGCGCATTTCCCACAAAGTGTGGTCCTTTGGGATCAGGTCTTGCTTTAATGCAAGTAAAGCTTAAGTAAAAATGAAAAGATCAAGCACTTCAGACGTTGTCCTTCCCCATTTGCTATGGCTGCAAGCGCCTTGCGCCTGTAACAAAACTTCAGCTGTTGCTTTTGACACACAAAAGACAGTGTGGCACTCTGACAAGCTAGGCTTCCAAGCGAACGATCTGAAGCAAGGACCTTCCCGCCATGTGCACAGTAAGTGAACTGGGAATGCTACAAACAAGAATGTGTTAGTGTTTTTTTTACTTAGACTTTGGACTTTAGACGACCAGGGACCGGTCCCTTGTCCTTCCTAGTTCTTCCTTTTGTTCTCCTAATCCGCAAAACACCAAGTGAAATTGAATGAGCATAGACCTGAACCTGCCTGGAAAGCTTTCATCTCCGTTTTCTGGACACGTCGACATCTGGGTCTTCTCTTATCGCCTCCTGCCAAACCTTGTTGATCTCCTCAAGTCGCTTCAAGCGGGCACCACTGAGTCCAGACCTGCAAACGGCCACACACAGCAGGTGACTGCAGGCTGTCGGGTCACAAAACCAAACATATTTCATGACGTGTGATGGCAGGGCACAGTAATTATGAGGTCTCGTCACCCAAACCCTCTCTCTGTGAAAAATCTGTTATATAACGGAAGAAGAACTAGCAGAGTCTGGAGGCGGTATCGAGACGTGTGTTTTGACAGAATCTTTCCCGCTCTGCTCCGGGATTTGAATTCTGAGTAGCCAACATGCTCTCGTCAAAATCCAGGACGAGCGTTGTCCATGGCACCCAGAAGCCACATGTTTTGTTTCTGCCTGCTACTACGCAAGTAATTCCTACTATGATGTTATTTTTCCTTCAGACAACGTTCTACAAATATTCGCACGGTTTGTCTGCTTGTCAACCGTACAGACCTTGATTCAAACCGTTCTTCAACAATTTAGTATCAATCTATCTGAACGGAGTATACTGATTCGAATCCTCTCACACTCATACTCTGCTGCAATGGATTCTGCGGAATTCAAGATGAAAGGTCTGGAAAATCAAGAGTGAAGAGGGGTCATACTGAACAAAAAACACAAGAAATGATCCATCGAAGAGAGACAAACAAAGAATATTGCATCTCTCATCTCCACCAAGCCCAGACACAACAACGACAATGAAAAAAGAAAACTACACAACACACGTCTAAGAGTTCGCTCAGCCTTTCTTAAGTTCAGGTGATGACTGATAGATTGAAGATGTCCAAGGGCTGAGGAGATTCTAGCACTCTTGGCATCTTGCGAACGTGACGCTGAGTAGGAGTAGTCAGAGTAGCTTGGACTCCGCCTCACTTCAGACTTTCGGCCAAGATCACCGGTGCTTTGCTTTGTTGCTTGTTTGTCTACTATTCTGGCTGTTGCTTTTCTTTAGACTTATAAGTCCACTGTTCAAAAAACATGAAGCATTAAAGTTAAAATGCCCAAAGCAAAAGTCTCCCAACCAAGCTCCAAAAGGATCTGCAGAACCTTTCTCTCTCAGGAGCTTGGAGTAGGGCATGGGTCCTCTGACCCCTGTCTGTTTCAACGTACGGTGCTAACTTGAAACCAGATGAGGGCGTGACAGGCAGAAAGCCTGTCGGGCCCCCGAGAGGCGCCTGGCAAGGGGCCAGGCGAGACACATCAGGAGGACACCTCCAGATCCGGTCACGGGATCTTCGGTGGGCAATGGTCAGGAAAAGGCATCTGCCGCCAATAGGCACTGCTTTGGCTTTGGAAAACGCAAGAAGATCATTGGGCGTCTCCAATGCCAATCGGAGAGCAGCATCAAATCACTTAAAATCAGGATGCGTCAGTTCATCCCCCAAGGTGTTGATTCACGTGGGATATGGCTAGGAGCCACACTACAACCTTCACGGCGCAGCAGCAGCAGCAGCAGCAGCACAAGTTCCATCAGGATGGCCGCCGCGTGAGGCTTCTTTGAGGACAAAATCAAGAGGCTGAAGACATTGCTCAAGTTGCCACTTTGCACTGGCAAAGCAAGCGTTTCTCAGCAGTAGGCTGATCCGTGCACCAGCCTCACCCGTCTGGGATGCGCCAGCATCACTGCCCCCACAAAGAAGACTTGAATACGGAAGACTTTGGGAGGAATGGAGAGTATTGTTTGAGAGCAAAGCCAACATGCGCACCACCTTCAGGACGGCCCATGGTCTTGACCGCCATCTTCCAAGCCAACAGAGGTTGGAGCAAGGATTTTGTCAGGGGGCGGCAGGCACTGGATCCGGCCCATCCACTCCGGCCAAAGTAGTTCATTGGTTCCACCACGTCGCTCGGCCTAGCTCCAAGGCTCCAGCTGCTTGGACGCGTGCAGCTTTGCCAGTTTCAGGGCTCCGCGTCCAGCTCGTTCATGGCAGCGAGCGCTGGGCCAGAGAGGCGCCAGTAGTGGCGGACGCAAAGCTTTCCACCACTGAAGTCACAGCAGGTTTGTCCATGCAAGGGTTGCGCCCGCCTTGAGGCAGGCGGCGCTGAATTGATCAAGTCGACGACTTTGAACTTGGTTGCAGATGGGTCACCCAGGTCTGCAGGGCTTGCCCTGCTCATAAGAGAGATGGCGCTGAAATCAGTAGCCGCCGCAACACACATGTCGTGGAAGGCGATGTCCCCAATGGGCGCCTGGCTGGTGCCGGAGTCCAAGCCAGAGCAGTCCCGCTGCCTCTTGTACTTCATGTCCTGCTTGGCCATGGCGTTGAAGGGAACATATTGCTCCAAGATGCGCACCACCGTTGGTGCCGACAAGCGCTGCTGGGTAGATTGCTTGAACAGGAGGAACATCTCCTCCTCAGAGCAGCCCACCAGCAAGCGGGCAACTGAGGAAGCCCAACTTCGGGTCCAGCTCCTGGACGTGAGCAGCTTCTGCGGACGCTCATCTGCGCAAAGTTGGGAAGAGGCCAGATCTGCCTCTTCAATCAAAGCATCCATATCAGGGCTAGGGGCCATGTCCACGTCCAATGTCTCCCGCTCCACGACCCACGGACGTCAACCAAAGCGAATCCCTCTGCCATCGGCGAAGCCATGGCGTGTTGAGAAGACGGTAGTCACACGAGTGGGGATCGCAAGTCGCAAAAAGCAGTGACACGGCACTGCAGGTTCACTTGAGCCAAAATGTCCCAGTGGGGCATTTTGGTGACTTTTGTGAACATAAAACTTGCACACGCAAGCTCAATGCAAGTGTGATTTATTGTTTAAAAGAAAATGGTGTTCGTTTCTCGTTTGCGTCTTCAAATACCTTGTCTCAATGCTTTGGACATCACTACCCCGAAAGCTACGAACAAATGTGCCTATGAAGCTGAAAGACGTGTTCTTCAAATAAACTTGCTGAGTCTTGACATGCTTTGACATGTTTTGCATAAAGTTCTTTGCGTTAACATGTCTCATGTTGGTTTGGTGTAATCAATGGTGACAATGGTGCCTGCTTTTTCTGCGGCCTCTGCCACCACCTTGGCACAATGCCCACTCCACCCGCTCCTGTTGAAGCCCTTTGCACAGCCGAACTGTTCTTCAAGGTTCCCACCACGGCTTCTACTCCTGGCAGCAGCATGAGGCATTAATTGAAATGATCGCAACTATTCTCCCATCATACTTACATTTCTATTATTTATTATATAACTTGTACTTCAAAAACACCAACTGTTGATTCATATGGCTTGCTCATATTCAATCTATATACCTGAATTGAGCAGTGAAAGAACTGCATCCTGCCTAGAATCTCTGCGTGGAGGAGGGTTGCGTCGTGGTTCTCCACCCTTGGAGACCTAAAAAAGTTGGTGACGATGCCGTCTGCAACACACGCAAATGCAGTCTGGACCTCGACACGGATGCGCTCGCCAGCAACTTTGGCTCCGTCTAGCTCTTTGACAGCGTCCTCTGTGACCCAACATCGGTCATGGAAAGCAACGGCAACCTGAGGTCTCCAAATACTGGCACGTGAAATACTTCTCCTGTGCTTCTTTTTCGTCATCCATTGTCACGAAGGCAAACCTCAGAATTGCATGTTCAACCCGGAAGAAGACCACTTCAAAAAACAAAAAAAGGCATCGAATAGGGAGGTCGATCGGACGTCACAAGGATTCAATACTCGTCGAAAAGCAAAACCAAAAGGATTCAATAAAACTGCTGGGCTCGTTGGTCCAAAACGTCAGAGGATCAAGCCCAGGAGGCTGTCGGGCGACCCAAATGTCCACGACTCGACCAAACTTCTCAAAGTGCTCCTGGACAGCAAACAGCAAAAGTGTAAAAACCAGCGAGCAGACTCACAATGATGATACTTCTGAGAGTTTGCCGGCATTCATGGTGCAGAACAAACAATCGCCCTTCCTCGAGCTCATTCCGTTCAACCTGGCCATGACCGACATGCAGAAACGGCGTTTGCTTCCAACACGTCTCTGATCTACGGACAAGTCATGTCCAATCAATTTTGACCCCTGCGAGCTGGCATCTTTGGCCAGGGAGGTATAAGGACACACCCTATGTTGATCTATGTTACATAGCCTGGCACTCAGCAGGCCCAACAAATCCCACGACAGGCGCAGAATGGCGCAGGTTGCAGGCAAGCAGTCGTAAGCAAAGGGGTAGCAATTGTAAGCATGGAATGGATCAACTCTCCAAGCAGCCAGTGGCATCAGAATCGTCAGCGTCTCATTGTGCCAACCACTATAGGCAGTGGTTTAGGCGCAGCCTCCTGCAAACTCCGCAAAAGCGCAAAAGGAAAGTACTTCAGTGACAGTGATTACTCTCTACTTGGCAGTCCTGTCCAGCAGGTAGGTGGCGGGAATCTGCCAAGAAATTCCCTCTCTATATCTCTCTCTCTCTCTCTTTCTCTGCATTTCGCCGCCGAACGACTCAGAACCTGAGCACGTTTACTTTCCTCTGTCGTCTCTCTGCCTAGCACACCGATGGGCCGCATGGGGGAAGATTGCCTCCTTGGCAGAGCCTGCAATAGGTTCAATAGGTTGCGCAATCTTCCTGCACACCCACGATAGACCGGGGGACACCTTGGCCTGTTGAAGTGAAGAGGCACAGTGGCGATCCAATTGCTCCTGCAACTGCTGGTAATGTTTGTGTCTCATGATCCCTGTCAATAGTAAATTCAATGCAAGCGAATTCTGTGACGTGTAATGCAAAGTCACGATTAATAAGCCTCCCCTAGTTAATCCGAACACACAAGGCCACCGGAAATTGCCCAAATTAAACGTATTATTCGTGCCTAATTCGCCCCCTAATCTTCTAGTTGGGCATCAGAAACCCCCCCCAGTCAATCCGAACCCACAACCAGGTCAAATTTTCGAATTACTACTACTACTACTACTGCTACTGCTACTGCTACTGCTACTGCTACTGCTACTGCTACTCCTACTGCTACTCCTACTCCTACTCCTACTCCTACTCCTACTCCTACTCCTACTCCTCCTACTACTACTCCTCCTCCTACTACTGCTGCTGCTGCTACTGCTCCTACTCCTCCTCCTGCTGCTGCTGCTAGCTACTGCTTCTGCTTCTGCTGCTGCTGCTGCTACTACTACTACTACGACGACGACGACGACGACGAGGACGGCCACCACCTACTACTTTTTGATGAATTCTCAAAGAATGTCTCTATAAGTTGCCTTATTAAAAAGCAATAAAAACAATCATTTGACAAGCTCACAAAGGCTACCCCTCACAAGGGCCGGTCCCCCATCAACTTGAGGCCAGGGGGAGAGGTCGAAAGCTAGCCGAATCGCACCGGATGTACTAGTTACATAGTCGGCAAAGCATGTAGGGATGACATGTTTTGGGAGGAAGGTTGCTATGTACATACTTTGCGCTAAAGAATGTAAATGTGACATCGCTGACTGGGAAGGGTACAGTGGAACAACCCGGGTGCACTCGTTGGCAGGCACGAAGATGCGTGATCGGCAAATCTGGGGGGTAAATTTACCCTCCGCTTTTGTATGCCTTGAGTCGGAAAGAGGGGTAAGCATTTCTGACATCATACGGACTGTACATACACTAGGGCGTCCGTAGTGTAGGAGAAGCACGGGTAAAAGGTATATGGAATAGAGTGTCTTGAGGAAATAGCCGGTGTATGGTTATTGCAAATCTGGGGGGTAAATTTACCCCCCGCTTATGTATGCCTTGCGCTGGAAAGAGGGGTAAGCATTTCTGGCATCACAAGGACTGTGCATACACTAGGGCGTCCGTAGTGTAGGATAAGCACGGGTAAAAGGTAGAAGGAGTAGAGTGTCTTGAGGAAATAGCCGGCTTATGGTTATGGCAAATCTGGGGGGTAAATTTACCCCCCGCTTATGTATGCCTTGAGCCGGAACGAGGGGTAAGCATCACAAGGACTGTGCATACACTAGGGCGTCCGTAGTGTAGGATAAGCACTGGTAAAAGGTATCAAGAATAGAGCGTCTTGAGGAAATAGCCGGTGTATGGTTATAGCAAGCCTGGGGGGTAAATTTACCACCCGCTTATGCATGCATTAGGTTAGAAATAGGGGTAAACAACTTGTAACGGTGAAGTACAAGTCCTATGCAGCAAGCAGCAGCCAGCAGCAGCAGCAGCAGCAGCCGCCTGCAGCCAGCAGCCAGCAGCAACCACCAACCAGCAGCCAGCCAGCAGCACCACGCAGCAGCAGCGCAGCATCAAGCCGCAGCAGCAGCAGCACCACCGGCAGCAAGCAGCAAGCAGCAGCAGCAAGCAGCAAGCAGCAGTAGCAGCGGCGTCGTCAGCAACAGCAGCAGCAGCACCAAGCCGCAACAAGTAGCAAAGCAGCAGCTACAAAAGCGGCAACCAGCGGCAGCAGCAAACAGCAGCAGCAAGCAGCAGAGCGGCAGCAGCAGCACCCTTTACACCAAGCCACCGTTACACCCAACCAACCACGTTCACACGTTCAACCAACCCCCTACACGGCGCAGCTGGGAGTTGAACCGCGGGGGGGGGGGGTTAGCTTGATATATCAATCTTTAAGGCACGCAGCCCCTCCCACCACAACATTGCTAAAGCAAAGAAGAACTCAGCTAGCATGCTAGCTTTCGTGATAATCTGCACTACTACCCCCTATTAAATTGATCCTGTGTCCTTGGCCTTTTGCCTGTGTTTGAACTACCTACTACTACCTACTACTACCTACTCCTACCTACTACTGCCTACTACTGCCTACTACTACCTATATACTCCTACCTACTCCTACCTACTACTACTACTACTACTACTACTACTACTACTACTACTAC